CTATTATAATAGATCTTTCTATCACATATAGGAAGCAGATGTTATATATATATATACTTTACGTTATATTATATATTATCATATATTATATGATAATTGCTAAAAACATGTGCTACAAGATTTAGTGAGATATTTTTGTCAAATATCCAAGTGGCAGGCAACAAATTTAAACAAATCTATTAATTTTGTTTTTTCTAATTTTTTATTCTAAACTTTAAGCGTGTTTTTATATATATTTTTTTATCACTTAAAATAATTGATTGAACGACAAATCATAAATGGCATTGAGCAGTTATACTTACGGTGCTGTAATTCCAATAATAACAACTTTTTTGCTGATAATTATCTAAAGTCTTTACCGTAATGCCACAAAACTCCGTGGAGCAATGCACCGGCACTGCATCGTTCTCTACACTCCATGCATCTCTCAGTATTGCCGCATGCAAATCACGCGGCGTCTTCCCTCTCGCGCGTGAAGTTGCGTAGGTTTACACACGCACGTGTCCACGTGCATGTCGCCTCGCCGGCCGGCGGAAAGATGGAACAGGGGTTATTTCTGTCGTCATCAGTCACTCGTAGCGGGTTTAAGTCGCACGGTAGTGTGAGAGGAGAAGAGAAAGAGAGGAACACAGAGCAGGAAAGGAGACTCTGATTTTGTGTGCAGACATGATACAATGCCGCGGTCTCTGCTCCTTTTCTGGAATCGTGCAAGGACCCTCGCTCTTGCCATGCTGCGCGATGACTATTACAGAAAAATAATATGTGCGTAAAAGAAAGAATAAAGTATTAAAAGTACTTATTAAAAAAAGAAGAATATAAAATATCACATTGTTGTTCAAAAGCTGGAAATTGATGGAAAAGTATTTTTAAATATTTCAATATTTTTTTGATAAATGTATTTTTGATAAGTACTTGGAAATAAACGGACAACTAATTATAGAATTATTTAAGTTAATTAACTTAGACGAAACAAGTTTCAAGAATGTGAGTGAAAAATATTAAAACGCAAGTTTTTGGCTACGAATATTTGAATAAATGTAATGGATATTCACACATATTAATGTTTTCCAATCTTTTTATATTTACAATTGTTTCTATAATCCCACGGTAACAGATTGTTGTGTTTACAATCGCGTTTCGCTTGAGCTACGCAATTCGATTATGGGACGCGCGCGCTTTGTAACATTAGCGGGTAAGCCAATTCAAGAACGGAAGGATACATCGCTCACGACAAATAGCCGCGCAGTAAACGTTCTCGAACCAAGCCTCGGCCAATTTCCTGATCACTCGTGTCTCCTGTTCCGTGTCAAGGCGGACCACGCCCGCGTTCAACGCTTCGCGCTTACTTATGCGTTGGAGATGCATGTATCGAGTGCTTTAACACAAACACACCTCCTTAGAATTCGCTGAATGATCGTTACAGCAGTAGTTGCAAGGTGTATCGGGAGTGCAATCGACGAGGGGGAGGGAGAAACAGTCGCGATTCACGATAATCGATCGATGCTTCGAGGACAGGGAAGATAGTACGCTCTACCTTGAACTCGATCGTTAGGGTTTAAATCGTTCCTTGAATTTCGAAGAGGGAATGAAGATGGAATGTAGAAATTCTGTGATAGATAAAAATTATTGTCGATAGAAGATGTGCAATGTTAATTAATGTTTTTCGTTAATGTGAAAAATATTGCATTAAAATTTCAGCATAAAAGTATTAATATTTTTTCACAAGCAAAGAACAAACCTAAAAACATTCAATTTATCTCATAAAATGTATTATGTTAAAAAAATTGCATTTTTTGTCAATGATTTTGTCATAGAACATTTGTTTACTTATGTATCTAAAATTAACAATAATTTTTATCTATCACAGATTGTAAAAGATATTTGCATATTGCTTTGAATATACAATATTTAGGACAAGATTATCGTTTCTCTCTATTCAAGCAAGGTTTGGCAGACTGCAGCCCGACACGCGCACAATACGTGTCTGCTCGTTTTCCGACGAACGTCCAGTTGCTTTCTTTCTACGCGCGCATAATGCGCGCAGTTTGGCTCAAGCAGCACGTCCAGCAGATTTCTGCCACGTTGTTCTTGAAATAGGGAGCTACGTGAGCGCGCATGGGGGTTTAGTGGGACTTGTACAGATTCGTCACCGGGCCCAGAACGGCGAGCGAAGCCTTCGCCTTTTACATACGAGCATTTGTTTTGTTAGGGATTTTCTCGTGCGAAGGACGAGACAACTCGGGCGTGGGATGCTTTCGCGCGCTATTTGCATATAACATTGCTTTTGTACAGAGAGAGAGAATGATTTATTAATTTTAAGAATAAAACTGACGCAAAGATGAAATTAAAAATTCTTTTAAAACTAATAAATTAATATTGTACATTGAAATTTCAACAATACTGTTTCTGTTAGAATCTGCCAGAGTTAGATTCTGTTAGCATCAATTTGCTTTTACGCGAGATTGAATCCCAACCAACACATATTTATTAACACTGACAACTGTGCATTCAACAAAGCAAGCCAATCGAAAAAAAAGCAGAAGGCTCGTTGGCGACGTGAAATATTATAGCGCGATTAGTATAGTCTGATTAGCGCATTCCATGTAACGCTCGGTACGTCCTTAACGATCTTTTTTTCGCGATAGCGCCTGTACGAGCGTTAACAGGACTGTTATTAAATACTGTTTAAGTGAACGATACCGAAGGATCATTATTTCCTGCCATACGTTCACGTGACGGCGTATAATCCGCGCAAAGCAAACATTAATCAGCAGTGATGGATTACGAGTCTTTCATCCGCAGCAATAATACTGATTAATAACAGTAACTTTTGGTATAACGCATAATTTCTAACACACATTTTAAATTTCAGACAAACTAAAGTTTAAAAATTTCGATATGTTTTCTACTTAGAAACTTAAAAAAAAGTTACGATATATATTAAATCATAAGGAATTAAATCGAATTATACAAAATCAATTAAATTCAGTAGGAGCGTAAAGAGCCACAATGCTAGTTCTTCGTGCGAAGGTTATGATATATTCGTTAAAATTGTTTACATCAAATCAAACATTTCTGCCTGCCATCAGGCCTTCTTCAGTGTACATTAATAAAAATAAAAATACAAATAAAAGGAAAATTCGCTCGCAAAATTTAACATAAAGTAAAAGATGTGGAAGACGTGTAAATAATCCTTTCCTCCAAATTGTTGTTCGGTAACAAATAAGTTAGGACTGCAATAAATGCAGTAGAATACATTGAGAGTTCAGATTAAAATAAAAGTAAGTGGACCGGAGTGCGTAAACAATTTTAACGAATATATCATAACCTTCGCACGAAGAACTAGCATTGTAGCTCTTTACGCTCCTACTGAATTTAACTGATTTTGTTAATCACTAGAGCCTTATATATTTATTAATTCGAATTATACAACATTGACATTTTTTTATAGTAATGAATTGAGAATTAAAAATAATTGATATATGACATCAATAAAAGAATTCGTCACAACAAATTATTAAAGTCAATCGTCTCTTGAATGAGTCGCGTCGGAAAAAGCTGATGCGGCCGATCATTTCTTCCACTCTGCAATTTCCGCGACACGATGATCAATTCATTATCACCGGCGTGGCGCAAAGTGTCTTTTATCTCTCTGCTTTCTCTCTCTCTCCCTCTTTCTTTCATTCCATCTCTCTTTTGCGGATAGCTCGTCACGTTTCTTACGTGCCGTACGATGTGCACGCGTGTAACCTGTTCAGGTGCTGCGAACAGGAGAACCGGCGCGACGGCGAACCTGTTCGCCGCATCTCCGCACTGACGCAACCTGTTCGCGCGCGTACGACTGGTTTCGCGCTACGCTCTGTCAAAACCTGTCGATGGATGCGTCGTCTAGCAGAAAATGATCGGCCGTATCGTTTTGATTACACATTTCTTTTTTTCTTCTTACTTCTGTGTCCGCAGTTTCCCTTATCGGAAATGTTGCGTCGATCGGATGTTGCATCGTTTGTACACGAAAAATAGTGACTTTTTGGTATTGTAATTACGGCCGTCGATCGTTCTGACGATCAACGATTGTAATTACAATTACACGCGTGCATTTGTAATTGACATCTCTGATCGATCGGAGCTTATATATTCCGGAACGCTGCATGCAACTTGTAAGAGGTTCTTGTAAAACTGGATAATTCAGAAGTCAGAAGTTTATGACATGTGTAAAATTATAATGTGTTAAACGGGAAAATTTATAATATACAGATATTACATATCAGTTTGTAATATTTCATTCAGTTAACAGATTTTTACAATTATTGTCGTAGTTTATAATTTAAAGTAAAACTTCTAATTATTAATGAGAAAGAATGCAGAATTATTTCTCGATAATTATTGATCTGTTATTCATATTACAAATTATAAGTATCGTAATTATGTATGCAGAAATAGAAAACAGTGATTAATGTACCGGTTGTGAGTTTATGAACCTGTCTAATAAAAATCTGAAGAAGAGAGAAACATCTCGGAAGACTAATGTAAAATTAGCTTGTCCTTCGTGAATTTCCCACATCAAACGAATTTATGAGACACTAATATACACCTCCGACCCCACACAGACATTTAGCGAATAAACATAGGAAACGGCTGGAAACTAAGACTCGCGATGATTTATCGACGCTGCGCACCGATTCGTCCAATAAAAGGCACCAGTAATCTCGTAAAACGAATCTAAAAAAAATCAACGGCTAGAACCAAGTTTTAACGACGCGCAGTTTTATTTCGGATTCTGACAGTAGTTTAAATAATAACAAGGTTTTTAGAAAATTAACATTGTGTTTTGACAATAAATCGTAATGACAATTATAGCACTATTTAAGTCTCACACAACTCATAGTATGATATTTAAGATATAAAAATATTTCAAACAAATTATATGGCATGTTATTATGCGGCATATTTTCTTTACTATTATCTCTATCTAATAAGAATTTCTTTTTTTTTTATTCCAGCTCAGAGAGAACAGTACAGTCTGAGCAGAAATTTAAAAAATAGCGGTCTCTTTCCGTCAGTATTCAACGTCGCCGCAAAAGCGGACGTTTCCGTAAACGCGACGTGCGGCGAGGATGGTCCGGAGACTTTTTGCAAGCCCTCGGAGTCATCGAGATGCGCTGTTTGCGATTCTCGAAGTCCAGATCCTGGCAAGAGGCACAACATCAGCAACATTCTCAACTCGAGTCCTGGCAGATGGTGGCAGAGCCCGACATTAGCCAGAAGTGATCACTACGAATACGTGACTATTCTTCTGGATCTCAAGCAGGTAAAACTTTAATTGTTAATAAAAGCCGAAAATTTTTAAACAAGTTTGCCGTAGAAATTACACACGACAATGTGGACACACTGCGAACGCAATTGAACCGTTTTGTGATATGAAACTTTTGTGACCATAATTTAAAGAGATAAGTAAGAAGATGGATATGAAGGTAACAAGATAATAGATAGGAATAAGGGCGTTTTGCAATTATTCTTTCTGTTCACACCTACATTTTGTCTTTGCTGCCTCTCCTGGATGCATCTAGTCGCTTAGATCTTTTTTCAAAATTTCGACTCGCATTACATCACATTAAAGAGCCTTTGTCCTGGTGCATCGAAAAATCGTAAAACCTTTTTCCTCGCGCTAGACTCGTTTCTCTCATTGTGTTTTGATTTCAATTTATGTCGTCCGTTCTGTGCCGACAGAGGCAAAACCGACGGAAAAAGATACGAGAAGTAAGAGAATCAGAGAAAACCGGCAGATTTGCGTAAAATGAGACAGAGAGAGACAACGATAGAACCTGAAGGTTCCAAATAGAGAATCTGGATCCCTTTGGAGGATCCCTTTCCGGAAATTTACGTGTCGGCTCGCAGGTATGCTCCATGACCCTTCGTCCTTTAACAAATTGGTGGAGAAAAACGTTTTAACGAGGCGGCTCTTTTTTTGAGGGTCGTCAGTAATGAGGACGTAGTTCAAGAGCACCGCGAAATCGTTTTGTGGAATGAAGTGCCGACACGACAAGCGCGAGCTAAAAATTTTGACAAGAGGAAATTTTATTATACGTTTATTATACTGAAATATTTCCAAGTAAATTATCGTTGGTAAATTAATTCTTGTGAAAGAATTTTTTCGACTGAAACAAATTCATGGAATCGAATATTTGCAATATCACGAAATTTTGTAAGAAAATTAAAATGAAAATTTAGCAATAATACATTTTTTACGTGTAAAAATCGAAAATTAATGTCCCAAAGCGCCATTTAATGAATTTATTAAAGTTTTTCAATATCTTTTATTTTTCTATTAAAATTCTAATATATACATTTCGAAATTTAATATAATTGTCTGGATTAGAAATTATATTTGTCTATTGAAATATCTTGGAAATACTGGATTTCAACTAAGTATCGAATGTTTTATAGTGAACATGCATGGGCAGTTCGCTAATTGATTCCCCACGGCATACAAAAGCCGTGAAATCTCGAGCATAATTGATACATTCATAATTATATTGGTACCGCAATAGCGAACACGTTGAGATAGGCAAAATCTTGCTGCGTAATTAGGGGTTGGGAACCGCGCAACTTTGCTTCTTAATTGGATGTTGATTGTGAGCCTAATCTTTTCTCCCCCGTGCAGGATATCTTTGGTGCGCGATCGCAGCGTGGGTGCATTGTTCACAAGAGCTGATTCTTCTTTCCATAATGAAAAGGCTTGATTAAGGGGTAGATTAATAACACGTACACATCGTATTTTTTATCTTCTGAAAAATAAACATTTCTAAAGAGATGATCGTTTTTTGATGATTATTGCCGATAAGCTTATAATTGCAATTCCGCGTCGCGACTGTGTAATTATGGCGGTGGCATTTAACTACGAGAGTTTAATATCCATCGAGAAACCGTATTATTAAATACACAATATTGACGACAGAGTATCTTATCAGTGTATAATTAATTAGAGGGCATGGCCAATAAAAAAACACGTGGCTTTAACGTTAAAGACGATAAAGTTAATTTTTATTATTTTGCAATCGGTCTTTACAATTTTGTGATGCGTAGCAATGGACTTAATTACAATATATTACACGAAGAGAGGTATAATTATTTTGAAAGAAAAATAATATACAGTACTTCTTCGCAACATTGAATTTTTAGGATCCATAGTGCGGGATATTTCCTCGGAGTGTTCTTCTTTGTAATAATAATTCTATGGTACCCCGAATCGTGGTACTCTTCATAAAGAGAAGATTCATTGTGACATTTTTAAATTACGGTCTGAGGATATCAAGAATGATTATGCTAATCGGCGAATAAGCGGGACGCACGGGAGAGCGTATTTATGATCCTCGTTAACGTTCATTGCGCTTATTAATTTTACGGCCAGCCGGTACTGCTCGTGATTCTTTAATTTGGCGAACCCGTGTTATATTGATACGCCGCATCGATGTTGTTATTGCCATTATCTTCGCAGTTGCGATTATTGAAATCGGAAGAAGTTTGACAGTTTCTTCGATATCCGTAAAAATTGTGCTGCTTTAATATTAACGTTACATTAATATTTTTAACACTTTAATAATTTTATCAATACTCCTTATTTCTCCAAAATTAATTATAACAATACAAATTGTTTATTAGTTTAATATCTTTTTATAAAAAACAAAAGTTGATAAAATAAGCGAAAGCAAGTTTTATCGCACAATATCAGTACATAAGAAAATTGGAATTTATTTTCTGGTATTTAAACACAAAAATTCCCACGCTTTGATTGATGCCGTTAGCTTATCCCGCGTATAGTGTTTGTGCTACTGATTGACACGACCGGGTGTCAGAATCCTCCCACGCGAAAGCCTTCGGTGAAATAAATTAATTTGTTCATGCCTAAAAAGACGGCTTGATGGACAACTTTTATCTCTGTACATGGCGAAAGGGTCGACACCATGTTGCGCAATAATTAGTAGACAGCTACAAACGATCATCAAACACTATGAAGGAAGCGATCGCCGTCATAATTCTTGCGAGACTTTCTCGCCGACGTGCCTTTCATATTGCAACGGAAGAGGAGGAGTTTGGATGGTTAGTGACTACGGTTGCAGGAAATTCATTTGTATCTTTAATGAAGTCTTGAAAATACATTTAATGTATTTTGCATGCGAAAGAAAATAGAGAATCGATTATCTTGAAAGACGTGATTATCAACAAAGTATCTTCGATTGTAGGATAATAATTCTTGAAAGTTAAATACAAGAAGAGGAGCTAGAATTATCAGTTTTCGTCGTAGCGGAAAACTTATTAACATTTTCAATGAAATCTCAAAGAAGAAGATTAATTTAATATAAATCTTGTATGTAAAAAATTATACATATAAGATAAATTACACAGAAGGATGTGATTGCTAATAAGAATTTTTTGTATATAATTCGAGTAATTATATTCGACAAAAAGTTTGAAGTTGTGTTGAGAGATTTTTTATATGATGAAATATTTGTTAATATTCGTTGCAAAGCAGAATAATTCTTAAAAATTGAACCAGTACATTTTAATAATACAATCAGATATCTATATTTGAATATCAGAATCAGCATATGCGTGATATCATATACCATGCCACCAGCATGGCATCGCCAAAAAAGAAATAATCCTGTCAAAGGATCAGAGTGCGCATCAAACTGGCTTCCTCGAATAGCATCAAGATGAAACGAGCAAGTTATCATCCGTAGATCGACACCACCTCTAACCAGGGGATCGAACGTGAAAAGGAGCAGCAAATGATGCTCAAGTCAAGTGACTGAAGCCAGCCGAATCCTTTATTGTTCACGGATTAACAAGTCGAGTCGCTCGTCGTCCCTCGAACGCTTGTCCGAGGCTCTCGAAATCTGCGCGCGCATGCCATCTTCTGCAGTCCGGTGAATGAATCATCTTTCTTGATCGAGGAGGGCAATTTTTTTTGGCAATGCTTGCATACTTCCAATTAAGTTGATACATTTTCACTTTAGTTCTGATCCTTGAAGATAATTCAACATATTTTTAATCTCGTTTCTACATTTTTGCAAAATATAAGATGATTGCTGTTTTATCGTTTTCTTCGGAGTGTTTTAGTAGTGCATAAATTTTCACATAGTTTTAATTACATTTTTACGATAATTTAAAAAAATATTTGTTTTTTTTTTTCGTGGTCTTAAGTCTTGCAAGACAAAAATGTATATATGTTTTACAACGGAGCGATTGTCACTTTTTGTTTCAATTTTATCGGAGTTATTGAATTATTACAAATCGATTACAAAGTGCTTTTGAACGAAGTTCAATGCAATGTGACATGCCAGACTTTTTTATCCATAAAAATATAAGATAGTAGAAGGAGAAATGCACAAAAAAAAATTTTTTATTTATACTTAAAATTTATTATGAGTATAAATAATCCAAATTTTGGTAGAGTTTTTTTTTGTTCTTATTAATGTCTGCAATCAAATTGACGAGGAGAAGAGAAAAGAAATTAATAATTGGTATTTTTTTTATCTCATGTCTGATAATAAAGAGATATGCATTATGTGTGAATTATGATAATCTCGATCAAGAGGCCATCAAATCTTTTTAAAACGCTCTCTAGACGGCTTTATGGCTTTTGTCGGAACAGCCACCGTTGTGGCATGTCACGAATTTACCTCGTAATTCAATTCCCACGGCCAGTGGCGATAATTACAGGCCGCGGCGCGCGGCCCTTACGTACATTCAAGCCGCGGCCGGCCATCTTTTTGCCTTCTGCTCACAACACACCGTTGATCGTCCGCGCTATACAAGTTTCTCTCGATATAAATCTCGGAGCGATAATCGCATCATCAATCCATGGCCGTCGATAAAAAAAGATTAACAAAATCCATTAGCTAATATAGATCATAATCAAAACTCTTATTAATGATATTACGCATAGTTTAGATAAAATCTTATATCAAAGTGAGAAATCTTCCGAGAGAGAGAGAGAGAGACTCTTACATCCAAATGAAATATTATTATTAAAATAATTATTTGATAATCGAACGCATTACTTCGTATCGTGTATATATTGCAAGTCTTTTAGTTCTCTCTTTGTTCTTCTATTATTATCTCTTGCAATTTTCCACATCAGTTTTATGCAGTTGCGGCCTTATATCGGTCTCAGCAATTCTCAATTCAATAACGTATAATCGCATATACTTTACGCGATCGATCAATTAAGTGCAGCGCTGTATGTAAGATCGTTCCCTCATCTCTTTTCTTGCTCCCATACTTTTTTTTGTTCCTCCCCGTGGA